TGCAGAGACATAATGGGTCATTGGCCCAGAAGCTACAGAAATAGATGTCACACAGCAAAGACATTTCCATTTCCCCTTCCCTTGGGGCAAACTGTATTACCATAAATTTCTTGGTCCAGTGCAACTCAGTATGCCTTTGGTTTGAATAGCCTCTTAAGCAAAGCAAAGATGTAAAATGGGCTCCTATTTAAGAAAAAAAAAAAAAAAGAAATTGCGATCAACTTTGCCCGGATGCCAAATGCATTTTGTGTAGTTCTATATACAGTATTAGTTAAAGAGGAGAGAAAAGCATTTAAAAGAAGAATTGAAGGGTGGATGAGGGTTTGGCAATTACTACTGAGTATGTGCAGAAAAGGAATACATCAAGTGAAAAGGAGGTTATTAATAAATCAGAGTTAGGAGCCATCATTTTCAATAGCGATCATGGCACAATATTGTAGCACCTTATGCTCAGGAAAGATGGAGCAAATGGCAGCAGAGAAGGGCAGCTAGGATAATTAGGGTGATGTAGAATCTTACAAGATTTCGAGGCTTCAGTTTGTTTAGCCAAGCAAATTGATGGTCAGGAGGGAGGAAAGGAATGCCAAATCTTCTAGACGGGTGAGTGGTGGGAGGACCATCCAGGAGGTTTATCCAGGGAGAAACATCCTTTCTCTACAATGGTTTAAATAGTGCAAAAGGGAGGTGTTACATTTGAGGACTTAGAAATGCAAACAGAGAAAGGGGGCTAATTGCTAGCAAGGGAAAGCAGATAGACAAACAACTCAGTTTGGCACAGTATCTAAGCGCATAAATTACCCTTGAGACATGAGGTTCTCAGGCACAAAGGGCAAGATACCCAGTTGTTTTGCAATTCAGTTTTACAGTTATATTAAAAAAAAAACAAAAAACAACCCAGAGGAGGTCACACACAGGCATACCCTGAGACTAGCATTTCTTGTGCTTAAGCGTATGCATGAGTTTTAAAACAAGCATCAGAAAAATCACAAGTTCCTTCTTTTTTTTAAATGTATATAGGAATCTTTGTGAGAGGAAAGGGAATACATCTTCTTCCTTCCTTATCTTCATGAAGAAGCACTGGTTTACTGGTACTGAGAAAAGTTTATGTCCCGGTCTGTCCCTCTGCTTAATGTTGGCTGGAAAGAGGGATGCCTTTCTTAGAAGACAGAGCAATTGCTGGTTGGATGGAAGGGTATGTACAGGCAGTGGAGTCCCTTGTAGAGGCTGAAACCCACTTGCATGCAGTGAATGTATGTTCCAGTCTAATTAACATCAAAAAGTCTCCACTGCCAACGCTTAACCTCCTGGGAATTTAGATGCTTGAAAGTGCAATCTTGGGATATACTGATTCATACAGCATAGAGCATTGTAATTTGTCAGAGGGTAGGATTCTTAACTCCTTGATCATTTATTACTTTGAAGATCACAGAGGAAATTGGAATACATAAATATAGCTGCGTTGCTGAAATTGTTCGATAATTTTCTTTATAGTTGCATTCATTGGCAGGAAAATTGTGTATCAGTTTCTAGCATTCATCTGATTAACTGTGTTAGCTGAAGTTCTTATGTGCTATTTGTTTTGTTTTGTTTCTTAAAAAAAAAAAAAATGTTTTGAAGCTAACTGAATAGTCTTTTTAAACCTTCAGAATCTTTTGGATTTTAACAATAGCACTACTCTGTAATAATGATGAGATGAAGAGAATTCTGGGTAGCAAAATGTTAATGTCCACAGCAAGCATCCTGCTCTCTTTAAAAAAAACCAAAAAAACAAAACCTAAATGAAATTAACTACTGAAATGGTCTGGTAGAGCTGGATTACACTGCATGCTTTATTTTCTTGTTATTTCACTGTGGATAGAGAATGGCAGGGAGAAACATGCTGGCTTTCATTTGTTACAGCTTTCCAGAAATCCTTGTGACTGAAAAAAGAGAATTCACTTCCATGTAAATGAAGCTTATTGACTTTGGAAGCAGGATTGTGATCAGTGTTTATTTTACTTAGTACTTTAATGCCATGCCCAGCAGTGGGTTTCCTATGGCACGTTCAGGCATCTTGACCACGACAATGAGTCATGTCCAACAAAATACGATCTTTTTACTCCCAAGTGCCTGAACTCCATGCTAACAAGGTAGCTCTGCATGCAGTAATTTGCAAATCTGTACAAAGGAGTTAGGCTAATGCTGTCTGCAGCTGAGTGCTTGACACTTTTGGTCTTGAGCCTTGATTTTTATGTTTCCTGTTCTTCATAAAGGACAGTGTTGTAGGAAATATAAACTAAAAACATATGCAGCTGTCAGGTGATAGTGATGAAAAGCCAGACAGGTTGCTGAATCTGGCCTTTCAATATTTATTATTACCAGGATGCTTTTAAACAGCACTTTAGCAGCAACTGAAATTATTCCAGTGAAATGCTTTATGGTAGCCCATATTTATAGAATGAAGTCATAGATTTTATAGACTGTAAGTTAAGACTTAAAAAACTTTTGTCTCTTTTGGCAGAAGGATCTTCTAAGGCGAGAGGATATAACAGCAATGGTAAAATAAAGTGACCTACACTTCATAAATGAAGTGAATCTGGATGTCTTTGCAGAGGCTTGCTCCAATTGTGGATGTCAAATTGAATCTGGATTTGCTGTGTGAATTTCTCACACTTGCACCTCAAAATGTAAGGGCTTTTTCTGCTGCGTAAGCTGAACTGTTTGATTTGCCCCCTCCCAATGCAAATTCCAAACTCTTTTATGGGAGAGGACGGGAGTGGGTATATTGAGAATAAAGAATTCAGAATTATAAATAACATATCTGGGGATTTTACTTTAATACCCACTTGGGTGACTGCAGAAAACCACAGTGACCTTGTTGGACAAAGAATATTTTAGAGACAGTACATCTAGGTCACTTCATCCTAAAAACAGGGCACACAGCGTAGCTAGTTTCCTGGGACAAGATGGAAATGTGGACAGCAAACAGCTTTTCTGCTGGAAGAATGCAGGTAGCTTATGGAGAAGGAACAAGAAAAACAAGATCCAGCTGGGAAGAAATGATGATATTTCGGGTCAGGCAGAAGTTTGAGAAGAGACACAAGTCTCTTGTGTCTACTCCTCCACTGTGTGTCATATCCAGAGGTAAGCAATACTGCACATTAGTTCCATTGCAATAAGCAGCCTTGCTGCACGACGCAGCTTGTAGTGTGTGCTGCTTATGTGGAAAATTGCAAGCATGCATATACATCATTAGGCAGCATATTATGAATCAGGGTCAAAGCTGGAGTAGGTGCTTTGTTCAAGAGATACTCATTTCCCTGGGGTAAGCAGCTAATTGCAGGAAATCTTTGAAAGCAAATGTGTGATAGGAAGAAAGCAATGAATATTGTTTATTCAAAAGACAGGAGGGGTTCCTTTGAATCAGTTCTCTTGCATAATCATGTAATTAGGGCATGTTCTATTTTTAATTAAACCTCTTGCATATTCATGAAAATTCTCTGAACTTGTGGACCAATTGACATAACTCTTCATTTTAAAAACATGCATATAAGGGAATGCTTTTTCATTTTTTCCCCTTTCATATTACTTTCAGACACCTACTTATCACCATTATACATAGTTGGCCAGCCCACTGCCCAGGCTTCCCTGTCAATACCACAGTGCCCTTGGCTTTTCAAACCCCACAGGGACTCTCTGCTCGTGCATTCTGCAGCTTATCCATTTTTCCCTCATTTTCTTTTGCTGGGCTCCTCTGATTACAGCATGAGTTGTGATTCCTTCTTCCATTTCCCCTTTAGGAGTCCTGCCTTCTCACCCCTGCCAGTCTGTAGAACCGTTTGATGTTTTCTTTGCAGGCAAACAGATGTTAGCATAGCTTTCCTTGTGTATTTCAGAATTCACCATGCAGGTGAAGCTGCACATTCTGATTCACCACTACATCTCCATATTTCCATAAGCTTATGATTCATATCTATATGTACTGCAGGAATTACGTGGCGTTCAGATGATATGCACCATAATATTGTCTAGACATTAATAACACTTTTATAAAGTTAGGCTGTCACCGTTCCCTGATGACTCCCAACGTACATGGCAGTGCACTGTCATATTTAATTGCACTTTTCATCTCAGAACTTCTGTTTCTTCCACCTTTCTTCATTTCAGTGATTAACATGCACTCAGTGGAACATAGATAAAATAGTGACCATTCTACTTGATGAAGAGGAGGCTCAGGGGAGACCTTATTGCTCTGTGTAACTACCTGAAGGTAGGTTGTAGTGAGCTGGGGGTTGGCCTCTTCTCTCATGTAATTAGTGATAGAACTAGGGGGAATGGCTTCAAGCTGCGCCAGGGGAGATTTAGGCTGGATGTTAGGAAATACTGCTTTATGAAAGAGTGGTCAGGCACTGGAATGGGCTGCCCAGGGAGGTGGTGGAGTCATCGACCCTGGAGGTGTTCAAGGAGCGTTTGGATTTTGAATTGAGGGACGTGGTTTAGCGAGTACTACTGGTGATAGGTGGATGGTTGGACTGGATGATCTCGAAGATCTTTTCCAACTTTGGTGATTCTGTGATACTATGAAGAGCAGGAGTGAAGTTAGAAGCTGCAAAGACATAATTCTTGCAGCAACACCGCTGAGTTCCCACGAAACTCTTCCATGTTACGCATACACCTGTCAGACAGCGGGGATCTTTAGGGCGGCTCAGCGTGCACGAAGACAGGGATGCTGACAAGTACTACCAGCACAGAGCGGCACCCAGCCTTCACCTCAGCGTTTGCGCTCCAGCTTTAGCTTAAGCCCCTCTCTCCACGAATCCCAGGGCGGCCAGAGCGGGGCCCTTCCTCACGTCCGTCCTCTCCGGGCCGGCCCCAGGCAGCCATGGCGGCGGCGCTGAGGGGAGGCAGCGGACGGGGGCCATGACATCACGCGGGCGGGGGGAGCGGCGGGAAAGGAGGGCGCGCCGGGGCTGCTGGGAGAGGGAGGGCGGCCGCCATGTCCGGCGGGGCGGGGCGGGCGGAGCGCCGGGCGGGGCTGGGCGGGGCGCGGCGGTAGCGGCCGGGGCGGCGGCTGCCTGCAGCTGTCAGCGCCCGCTCCTCGGGGGCCGGGTCGGGCCCGTCAGCTCCTCACGGGAAGCACCGAAGGCGCGGCGGTGCCCGCTCTCTTTCTCCTCGCTAAAACCCTTTTCCTTCCGCCCGCCCGTCGCTGACATCCTCCTCCGGCCGCCTCCTCTCCCCGGGCTGCGCGGCCCCCGCCGCCTCAGCGAGCGCTGCGCACATCCGAGCCTGCAGCACCGAGCGGTGAGCGGGGGACGGCGGGCGGGTCGGGGCTTTCCTCTTCCATCTTCGCCTTTCTCCTCCCTCCCGTTTCTCAGACAACAAAAGGCTGCGCCGGGAGGCTGCGCCCCGCTGACAGCTCCGTCACCGCGCTCGGGCGTCCCCGCAGCGCCGCGCGCTTTGTCCCCCCGCGGGGCTGCGGCGCGGCCGGCACCGCCCAGGGGGGAGCGGGCCGGGCCGGGGCTGAGCGAGGGCGCTGCGTGGGGCCGCCGCACGGCGCGGCGGGGCGGTGTGAAATGGTGGAAGGAAGGCAGGAAGGAAGGAAGGAAGGCGGGGACGGCGCTGCTCGGGCTGCGAGAAGGTCCTTCGGCATCCTTGTCTAAAATTAAAGGAGCTAAATCGGTAGGGGCGAAATAACGCTAATGCCCGACTGACCTCGTTGGTGCTGTCTTTTGGGCAGAGGTGAATTAGGAAGGTGTTTTATCCTTCTGGCTTTCCGCTGGTTTAGCTAGCGAGATGTCAGGTTGGTACAGCTGCACAGCGCTTGTGCGTAAGTGCGGACGGGGGCACCGCGCCTCCTCCCCGTGTGCTGAGCGGGGAGCAGCCCGCTGCGATGGCCGGGGCGGCACCACCCAGATGGACGCTGCTGGGAGGCTGCTCCAGCCGTCAGGTGCTTCCACGCCTTGTTTTTTTTCCCCATGGAAGATTTCCTTTGGTGTATCCGACTTCACTGTACCAGTAGTGTTCGAGTACAGAATCAGAAAGCAAAAGGAGCTGGGGGAAAAAAAAGTGAAAGTTTGTGCTTGTACTCGGCTTTAAGCAACAGAACGCTGAGCAAATGTCACTCGTAATGGAAGTTTTCTTTTGTAGTCCTACATAAAAACGCCTGGAATGAGGATTCTTAAAATGTTATTTTTGTGTTGCGAATGGCAGAAGGTTTGGTAACAATTACTCTGGGAAGTAATTGTCTGTTTCATTTCCCCTTTTGTGTTTGCACTTCTCTGAAATAGAAAACATGCCCAAAGGGAGTGCATTGGAAAGCTAGAAAGGAACCTTCGAGATCTACAAAAAAAAAAAAAAAAAAAAAAAAATCAAAACCTTTTTGAATTCAGGATTGATTTCAGACTGCTCTGGAAAATGGCTTTCTTTTAATTGATTATGAATTCCAAAGCTTCAGCGAAACATGATAGAGGATATTATAACCCCGGGATTACAGAGACAATTGAAAGAAACACATTCAGCATTTACTGGAAGCAGAGAGAAAACCGATCTCTGTGCTGATTCTGAGCAGAAGGCCTTGTATTTTGTAAGGAGTTGCCGTGATTTTTTAAATTTTCTTTGTGAGCACGTGGTTTAACATAACCTTTTTGTGACGCTTTCACGGATGTAGAAAACTGCAGTTCTAATTAGGTAAGCACTTAATGCAGAACCAGGTAGCGAAGTGCAGAGCACTGACATGGGCAGTTAGTGAAGTCACACAACAATGCGGTATCACTTCTGCATCGTGTTGCAGTTAAAGTTTGGCAGCCTTTCTGTTTCTGATGGGTGGAGATGAAAGTGGACACTTGCATTAATGAGAAATTCTAACAGCAGTGTCAGTCTGGGCTCCATTCATTTTCTAAGCAAAGAAAACACACAATTGTAAGTAATTTTAAAAGAAAATAATATTATCGCCCCAAATGTCTCGTAACTTTGTTTCTTTTGCTGCTCATTACATTTTTGGGATGTACCAACAATGCCTTATTAGTGAAACTAATTTGAAAAAGCCTTTGCTCAACAAAAGAAGAATAGTGCATAGAAATGTGAATGAAATCTGTGAGAGTCTACTAAATGTTTTGACATATAGTAATCAAGATACTGCTTGAGGGATGCATAAGGGGTATGAAAGCAATTGCTGCTTGCTCTGTTTATGAAGAATTTACCATAATGAGGTCAGAGAACCCTCACTTGTGTGCTACCCATAGGCTGTGTACGTTTAAACACAGAGATCTGTGTTCCTATATGTGCATACCTACCTATGTTTCTTAATTAGGAGCTTGGGGAGATGCTGAACCCTCTTGCTCTGTGCTGAGTCCACGTAATGCAGCTTCTGTTTCTCTTGAGACATGTGGGCTTGTGCAGTTACTCTTTCATCTCTTACTCTGCTCAGTATCTCTGGAAGATGTGTAAGTGGGTTTATTCTGGTATTAGCAGCTTCTTTCCAGATACTTATCTCATGATTATTTTAAAACTCAATTAAGTATACAAATAACTTTTAAAGTACTGTTTTCCTAAAGGGAGTAAAAAATGAGTGTGGGTACATTCATAAAGAAGCAAAATGTATTTTTGTGCTTAAGTTGAACAGTGTGGTAGCAAACAAAGACAAAGGCAAGCATACCAGGTTTATTTAAAGAAACCTTTTGCTGTCCATGTGCCTGAAGGTGTAATTCATCATAACACATCTTGTCATAAAGGTGGGATCTGACAAATTCCATCATCATTGCAATAGAAATTACAAGCATTTCTCGTAGCACAATCTGCATAATATTTTATATTTTCCAAGTATTTTTTTATTCTTCTATGAAAACACTGACCAAAGTTTAGAAAAAAATGTTTCTTTTAGATGTTAACCACTGTTTTCCTTAAAACAAAATCATTGGGCATGTAATGTCTAATGTATACTTCCTGGTAACTGAGTACTAGTGAAGGCAAACTGCTTATTTTAAAAAGAAGCATTTTGACCTCAAAACAGAGCCAGTTATATCCTGAGTCATGCTCAGCTTGAGGTAGTGAGGCTCTCCCGGTCATTTCTTCAGTGGAACGTTTTCCTGTCTAATAGCAGGCTGTAGAAATAAGTGTGGTTCCTTTGAAAAAATACTTACCAGTCCCCACAATCAATAAATGCCAGACCAGAAAGCATGCACTCGTGCTGGCTCAGATTTGCTGAGATGTGTTTGTTGCTTTGACTTCGGGGATTTGAACCAGGCACTTTGTTAGAGGGCAAGAGCCAGAATTACAGGTCCTTTCAGTGATGTAGGAATCATTTCCACAGGGTTGTGTTTGAGGTGCTTTGACAGATAGTGCTATACTTGTTTTGGAAGATGTTTTTTGTAGCAGACAGTTAATATAATGTGTAATGACAGGCCGTGGCAGATAGGAAGGCATGAGTACCTAAAATATATTTGGGTGCATAAACAAAGAAATGGTATTCAAAGGGCAAACACTGAAGCACAGTTAATGTTTATTTTCGTTATACAATATCAAATTAGCATATCTAATCTCTGATATTTGATAGTTTCTTCAGATTGAGTCAGCTAAGAAGACAGATGCAAGTAATAGTATCTGTCTGTTGATTTAATCATGGTTTGATTCTCTGAATCCAGCTTATCTCCCTTGGGTTCTGCTGTTCAGCTCTTTTCAGTGCCCTCAGAAGCAATCTTTACCCTGAAAGCTGCTTTGACCTGCAGGTGGAATTAAATTGAATTTATTTTTTCAAATAATTATTATTGTTCTTTTTTTCTTCCTGTTTTCTTTTCTCTCTCTAAATTAGGAAGCATGCAGTCTTCTATTCCGAGTGTACTTTCCCCATGTTTTCTACTTCAACACAGCTTTTTTTTTTTGCATGGTTTCTTAGTATCATGCCCTAATTACGCTAAAATATCTTTGTCAGGCTACCCTAAAACAAAGCAGTTTCCTATTTTGATTCTTTGTAAATATCTGCTGTAAAACCCATTAATCACTTTAAGGTGGTGTTTTTGTGCTTACATCAGAACTGTAGCAGACTTTATTATATTCCAAAGCGAGGAGAGTGAAGGATGTAACCAGTCTGGTCAGTTGTACAGCTTCCTTAGAGGTGGGTAGGGTGGGGTGGTGGCTCACTGCAGCCTAATCACTCTATGACCATAACCCTGTATTTATTTGCACGCACTCCAGAAAACCCTTTAAAAAGTTAATGATGCACTAATTAACATTCAGAAGGTCAAGAAGTGTCAGATATATTTTTCTGACATATATTATTTTCTGACAGTTAATATCTGCTTTTCTTACAATATGTTTTGTGTATATCCTAGGAATCAGGGTTGTATCTAAAAATCAGCCCATTTAAATGACAATACTTAGCATGTCAGAATAATCAGATAACAGGCTGTGTATCAGTATACCATAGCTCAGGGTGTTTTATATACATGCACTCTATTTTATATACATACACTGAAATATACTGTTATACTGATATATACATATACTGTTTTCTGTATCCTGTGCTGCCATCCCTCTCAGCAGTACCTTACTGCTAACGTTCATAGAGCTCTAATGCTGTGCTTTGTTTAGAAACAGCACAAGTAGGTAAATATTACCAAAATATGAAGAGCACTTGCAGTGTGCTGGTACATGTGTGTGTCATTCCCCCGAGAGGAGGGAGGTGGCTTTAAGCTCCAGGGGACCGCAGTAACCGCGTTCCTGCAGTGCCTCCTGTGTGTGCTCCTTTCCAGCTGACGGTAGCTGGATGATCTGCAAAGCATGCCATGTGGGTTTATGGGCTGATGGGAAAGGAAGGTGTGTTCTGTGTTGGGGGGAGGAGGGGAGGGTCGTCTGCCCCCTCCCCTTTTTTTTTTTTTCTTTCCTGCATAGCATATTGTGCTTCAGATGGAGTGTTTCTGTGGATGTTCCTTTATCAAACAGTGTCAGGCTGTATCATGTAGGAAAGCCACAGCTGTATCCTCTGGCTTGTGCAGCTTCCGTTTCAGAGAGGCAGCTGTTACTCCTTCATCACTCATCTCTGTTGGCTTTAACATGTCATTTGTTTACCTGGTTAAATTACATGTGTCCCCCAAGTGTTTTGAGGGAGAAGCAGCATTATTTCCTCCCCACCTCCTCAGTGCTGTGTGTACCTGGATTAGCACAGGTGGTGGGATGGTAAGAAGAGGTTGCAGCAGGAGATGGGGAGGCAGCAGCCTCAAACTGTTTCTGCTGACAGAAAAGTAATATATAAGTGTCTAAGGATATAGCTGAGAGTTCCTTGAGTCACAGGGCTGGTTTATGTAGAA